CTTCGATAAATGCCACCAGCCAGTTATTTATAAAAAATAATTATATAAAACTAGTCAATTTTACAACCTCTGACGCTCAATCACAATTTCGTAAAAAAATCGGATTAAGTTAAAAAAAGTTTCTATTACCACTTTACAGAAAGAAAAGATAATCTTGCCTTTTTTGAAAAGTGATTTGAATTTCAGAGTTGTATGACAGCATTGACAGGTAGCAAAATCAAGCCATGATCAAACATTAAGATCGATACAATATTTAGAATTTGTGATCGTATTATATCGTATTTAAGGAGAATTTATATGTAAAATATGGTGATGCAAAAGTAATGGGCATATGGATTAATTTATGGTATTCAGATATAAACAGCATTCAACTACAAGTTTACTCTCATTATGCTGTTTCCTTCTAAATCACACATCCCATCACATTTTTTTTTTTTTTTTTTTAAAGAACAAAAAATCTTGGAAGTATGAAGCCATTGTATAAAAATTTACTATTAAAATGATAGATACTCACATGTAATATTTACAGTTTGTGGTAAAATGTAATGATTATTATGTTAATTGTTTACATGTTGTGCTCTTGATAATGGCTTGACTCTGGCGCGCACTTTAGATTATGTACATTTATATGTATTTATGTACAAAGAATGACTCGCACCGGCATTCGCATCACTTCATTCACTGAGTTCATTGTTTCATACTCAGTATGCCTTATTTACAAGTAATTCATATTTTCGCTGTTTTACTATGATGTTGATTGAAATTTTCAATTTTTTTCTATATAGACCACTTTTTTTTTTTTATCTAAATGTTCATAGCACTGTTTTGTCTTTATACACTGTTAAACACCCCAGACAATACTTTTCAAACTGAGATAACGTTTCACTCTGTGAGTTCAAAGCATAGCAATGTATGCCTTACATGTACGAGTCACACAATCACCATTTAACACTTTAAACTCTTTGAGCGCATATAAAACATCGTGACGATGTATCGAAACTACTTAGACACGTTACCCTCTTCCATGCTATTATTGTCTTCTGGTCTTGCTACATACAAACTTGGATCTATTACCTTTGGAATAGGTTTAATTTCTGTTCCAAGTTCTTGTTCGATACGATGTAAGTTAAAACGGTCTTCGTATGTGATTAGGTTAATTGCTATACCTAAGTGACCGAATCGTCCTGATCGGCCGATACGATGAAGGTATGTCTCTGCCATTTTTGGAAAGTCAAAATTGATTACGACGTTCACGGCTTGAACATCAATACCACGAGTAAACAGATCACTGCTCACCTATAAATAATATACACATAATTAATATATGTCTTTATTTTTTTATAAGTTAAAAATAAAATATCATAATCAAATTTTGATAAAATGTTATTATACTTACCAAGTTTCTGCAAAGTCCTGCTCGGAAATCGTGAAACACGCGATTTCGGTGTGCCTGCGCCATTTTCGCGTGTATGTAATAACAGCAATATCCAAGATCTGTTATTTTCTTTGCAAGTAATTCAACACGTTGTGTTGAATTGCAGAATATTATACTTTGTGTTATTTGCAACTTGAAGAATAAAAAAATAAATTAAATAAAAACATTTGATAAAAATACGATTTATTTAAGTAAAACTTGCATATTATATATAGATTATATATATTTAAAAAGAAAATAATAATTTTACCTTGGAAAACAGTGTGTTAAGACAATGAACTTTTTGTCGTTCTTGTACAAAGGCATAATATTGTGTTACACCTTTCAATGTGAGTTCCTCCATTAAATTAATCTCATATGGATCTCTTAAATGTTTTTCCATGAATTGTTTCACTGTCAGGGGAAATGTGGCTGAATACAGCAGTATCTGACGTTCGTGTGGTAATCTAAATATATAACAATTAAGAATTAAAATATTATAATATACATAAAATTAAAAAGTATTAATTTGTATAATTTTTTTTTAATAGTTATACCTCGAAATGACATGATCCAACATTCCTTTAAAATCTTGTGACAGAAGTTTATCTGCTTCATCCAAAACTAGAGTTTTACAATGATCCATATTTGCAACATTCTTATCCATAAGATCGAGAATTCTTCCTGGGGTTGCTATTATTACTTGCACTAAAAACAAATTACATTATAAGTAAACTATTTTTAAAATTGTAATAATTAGTTTTTATATAAAGATATATCCAATACAAACCTGACTGGTAAATCCTCATAATATCATCCCGTAAGTCTGTTCCTCCAGTAGTTACCATTACTTTTATTTCCATATGTTTTGCCAGTTCAATGCAGATTTGTGATGTTTGAAGAGCTAACTCTCTAGTAGGTACAAGTACTAGTGCCTGAATCACATCTTTTCGTGGATCAACCTAAAATAACATATTAATAGCAATATATTAGTATAATAAAATAATATTTATCAATGTAAGTATTCATATAATATAAATATATTTTCAATTTTAATAATAGAATTAATGATACTAGAAAAATTAATAACATACAAACCTGTTCTAGCACTGGAATTGAATAGGCCCCAGTTTTACCAGTCCCATTTTTTGCACGGGCCAAGATATCTTTACCAGATAATGCAATGGGAATACTGGCTTCTTGAATTGGGGAAGGCTTTTCCCAGCCTTTTTCAAAGATGCCCATTAATAATTCTCGTTTTAGGCAAAATTCCTCAAATTCATTGCCACGAGTATCAGTAACATCCTAAAGGTTTGTAAAAGCTTTTATTAATAATTTAAATATAACATGATATGTGTTAAATAATTGAATTTTTAATCAAAAATAAAATAGAATAGAAATCATAATATATAACTTACACTAGTTTTAATTCGTTTGTCCTTTGGTGGAATTTTTAATTTAGCTTTCCAACCCACATCGTCCATTTTGTCGATTTCTGATTTAGTATTCAAACCAGAATTTAGGACATGATTGGAATTTATATGTGTTTCTGTCATCATTTTGAAAATGATGAAATATTATCTATTTCCTGAAAATATATTTTTCTTTATAAATCAAATATATATATTATTTAAATTAATTAAATTCATATATTTTTTTATAATTTAAAAATACTATAATTTTTATGCAATTGAAATAAATTAGTTGCTTAAAAATATTAAATTATCATTACATTAAATAAAAGAAATTATTTAAATTTGCAAATATTGGATGGATTGAAATCAAACAGTTATATTTCTATAGAACAAAAGACAATATCAGTATAAGTGACCTGCTGAAAAGATCACAATAGGATGTAAACATCATAGGTATACTCATTTGAAGAATAGCAGTTTTTATGTACTTGAACCTTATAAGAAATTTTAACAGTTCGATATTGGTTACTGATATTATTCAGAAAAACTTCAAATTTGGAAGAATATATTATAATATATTTATATTGATTTCATATTATATATATATATATATATATATACACATTAGAATATGATATATAATAAAATTAATATAAAAATAAATTTATGAATTAAAATACAATATTTTTAAAGAGAAATTCTTAAAAATTATGAATATAATAATACTTGAATTAAAAAAAAAAACAATTAATATAGATTGCAATAACATATACTGATTGCAATATATTTCATAATCTTTATATAACTTTTAAACAGAGACAAAAATTAAAATAAAAAATATTATTTATAAAATAAATAAAACAAAAATTATCAAATATATTATATCAAATAAAAATGAGGGCAATTCGCTTATTTGGAAATTCTACCGCCTAAGATATTGATAATATTTTTGATTATTATATTTATATGTACAAATCAACAAAAAAAAAATTTTTTTATTAATATTAATCACATATTGTTTATAGGATATGTTTTTACTATATTAATAAAGTTGGTTTAATCGATGTTGAGACATCGCGGTACTATCGTCAGACATACTTGTGAACTGGATGAAAAACAGAGTACAGAATAAAACCATCTGTGTAAAGTCAATTTTCCTTTCTATAGCATAAGTTCAAAATTTCTTTAAATAAACGTACACGATTGAATGAAAAATGAAATTTTCTTAAATATGAGATCATTCGTTTAACAAAATGTCTACAACTACTAAGAAACTTACCTTGAAATGGATGGATATCGATGCTGAGCTGAGCACTCGATTAGGAAACAACACGCCAAAATGGCCGTTCCAATGTCAAGTTTTCTTTGCAGTGCTTAACCGCCGCGTTCTTTTTTACGGAGCACTAACACGGATTACTTGCTCGGAAAGCGTATCGCGTAATACGCGGCACTATATTACGTTCTTTTCCGTTTGTAATATGAGACTAACGCACTGCGTCAAATGCGAGCGATAATTATTCTTCGTTGAACGTACACGACATGCGCCATGAAAGATTAAAAACACTCAGATCAGAAACCGTTACATTATTGCGCGCACTCTATCGATAACTACACTTAATTATGCGCTTTAAGGCGTATTTTCAAAATATTCCGAATATATTCGAATGTACATTAACGTATTTACTATTATGTTAACTGTTTCAATAATTCTATTACATAAAAAAGTAAAAATTCTAAAATAATTAATATTTATTAATTTTATATAAAATATAGCTAGTGAACAAAAATGTTATATAAAACTATTTGAATTTATATCAGTGTTTTATCCTTTTGATGATTCAAATATTTCTTTCGATATTATAATCGAACCATTATTATTTATGGAAAAAAACAATGAATTTATATTAAATCAATAATTTTAGTAATTAGAATACAAGAAATTTAATATAAAATCAACAGCATGAAAAAAGGTGAGAAAATAATTTTATAGTATAATTTTATACGATTTTATAATACTACATGTGCACATATATATATGTATATTAGAATAACAATACAGTGATATTTCGAATTCAAATTTTACAGTGTTAATTAACGAAATACATTTAATATATTACATTAGATATTTCAATATAAAAATATGTTTATACTAAAGAAATAAAATTTGCCTTCTAACTACAATTCTGTTCCCTCCTTTGAGATATTCGATATTTTCTACAAGCTTCGGGGCAATGTCGTTCCAAATATCGTCTTTGCGAGAATGCTTTGAAACATTCCCCGCATCGCCATTGCCATTGATGGTGATTCCGAGTCCTTTGATGCGCACGTAAATTTGATCTACAAAATATGTACGTTACACCATAGTCTCGTACCCACTAATTAATTCAAACATTGTAAAATTAACTCAGTAAAATTAACTTTATAATTTACTAAAGAAAATAAATAAAATAGGTATGTATAATATATTAATATATTATATATTGCAATCATACGATTACGATATTTAATTATCATTTTTTTGTTTCAAATGTTTTAATGAAAAATTTTGATCATATATTTATTCATAAAATTCAAAAAAAATTTTGTTATTATTCATAACTCGTATATATAATATATAAAAAAATATATAACTAAAAGAAAAAATATACCGATCGGCAAAGGATTTATGGCAGACCGGACATTCAAAAGGTCGTTCACCCGTGTGAAGACGCAGATGACCCTTCAAAACCCATGGACGATCGAAACTCTTGCGACAATAAGGGCAATAATGCATAGTTTTATTTCTCTTCCAATTCTGGGGATTCTCCACCCCTGTAGTTTTCATATTCCCTCCTAAATATTGATTCTGGGAATCAATCTGTTTCTTATTCGTAGCAATATACAAAGTCTGCGAGGTCGTCTGATTCTCAGTCCCATCGAACATCCTATTTAAATTCACAGCCACCTTGATCTCGTTATTACTCACGTTTACCGGATACTCTACTTTTTTCGCGTTCGAGGGCAATGGTATTTGCACTTTTTCCACCTTTTGTTCATTGTTCGTGTCCACCATTGTCTGATTGGTATTCACAGAAACATTTGGAGTGGTGGACGGTATCGTATTTTCAATTTCGGAAAAATTTCTCGAGCCCAATTCCACATCTGCTATATTCAACTCCTTGTTCCAAAATATATTGTTCTCTTTATTGAAGGTGTAACGTGTTACAATTGGTAATCTCGAGGAGGTCCATATATTATTGCATTTCGTGGAATTGTCTTTAATCTGATGTTTTCTCTTCGCGTCGACCGACGATGGCGGAGTCCATGGTAATTCTGCCTCTACTAATTAGGAGAGAAAATCATTTCATTTTTTTTTCTTTCTTTTTCGAACGAATTATACGCATCATATTTTCAAATCGCTTAATTATGATTAAAAGTTATCGTGACTGGAAAGGAGACGTAAGATTCGTCATAAAAACGAGATTCATTTACTCCAACAACTTTACGAGTTGTACTTTTTTTTCCATAACCACGCCAAAATTTCACTGTCGTCCCTGAGTATACTGTAGCTATACTGTGCACAAGAGAATTGTGTCTTACCTTCGGAAGAATTATCGGTCTTCCTATACCTTGTCATCGATTTGATCAAACAACGAGGCATGTTTTCGCGACGATGAAAGGGCCACAGCTAAAAAAAGAACGAAATACGATAAAGTGTTGGCCGTTGCAACAGCGATGGAGCAAACCACTGTCACACGTTCGACAGGCATTTGTTACCTTCTGTGCCATCAGTACTGTAATGTCGAAAGATTCACCCATAGCTAACGCGAAAAAATACGTACCTTCTATCACCATTAATGGCGATTTCTTTTCCCATTCATAATAAGAAATGAAAGATGATAAGAGAATTATCGAACGACAATCAATCGTTTTTTAATAGAATTATTTATTTTAACCATAAGAATATGTTTTTATTTTTTTTTTTTTTTATAAAATTATGATTAATGAAACGGAATTAATAATTTTTTTTATATGGTGAGAAACCATATGCAATTTGAAAAATAAATTTAACATGTTAAGAATATGGAGTATTTTTTTTTTTTTTTTTTATAGAATATCAAAATTAACTCTTGGAAATTAATTGTGTTATTAATTTTATAATTATCAATTATTATTAAGAAGTACAAAAGTAGTATCTTTAGGTTCAGCTAGTTTAAAGGTCGAGTAAATTTGAACTCAAGAGTAACGTACAAACAGTCAAAACGGTTTGTGTATGTTTCTTATGACATTTATCTTAACAAGCAATTCTTGTATCATGTGAAATTTATGTTAATTAATTACTTTTAATTACGAACGAATTTATTTCTAAAATTATTCATACTTATATACGTTGTTTTATATACAAAATTTAAAAAATTTTTTTTTATTCAGACATTTAATTTTACTTTAATTTTAACGCAATTATTTTCTTTATACCAATTTTAATATCAAACATACAGATAAAAATACATTTTACATTTAAAATTTTATCTCGTTTAAAACAATTTGAAATTAAGAAATTTGTATTAATGATGAAGCATTCATAACAATGTGAATATATGTATCTCGATATATCCTATATGTGGTATCTCAACCACTATATAATTTTAGTTAGTTCTGTGTAACGTCCTCTAGTGTTTGTATAACAGTCGTAGTGGTAAGGACTCGTGGATTTTGATACAACTTGTAGAAACTCCGTTAGGACAATTTAAATAGAGATATTAATTTCTATCTCGTTTCTTCACATATATTGTGAAGAATTTTTGTGAGTATATCGAATATCGATACTTTATTAGAAAAAAAAAATTCATTCGAGAATTATAAATTTAACGTTATAATTTTGTTGCATTTATATTTTCAAAGAAATAAAATTAAGAAAATAGAAAATACAATTATTAATAAATTATTTCTATTCAGAGTTATATTTATTATTAGAATATCGAGAAATTAAATATACGTATTTCATTTTTCTGCTTATTATTCATTTATGCATAATCTTCAAGATTTCATGTAAAGAATAGAAACTACAGAAAAAAATGATACCAATGCTGTTCAAATGATTTTGTAACGAAAAATGATACTGTATTACCCCTTGACGAGCGATTGATATTTAATTCTCGTATTCTACTATATCTCTTTATCAGCATTATTGAAACTTTTAAAGTCTGCCAACTTTTTTATATTGGCAATAAAAAAAAAATTGCCATCACTCAATCAGTCTTCCACTAAAATAGTTTAACAAAATCGTATTATTTAAAAATAATTACGATTAGACACGAATTTTATTAATAATAATTTTTTGTATCAATAGAGAAATATTTTTAATATATAGCTTGATAGAATTTTAATTTATTAAATTTCAAGATTGATAAAATATATTAATAATTCTCGTATTCGAATATTATCGATAGAAAATTTCCAAAAAAAAAAGATTGATTCAAATTCGATATTTTAAAAGGTGATCTTACTCGAGAAAAAAATTATTTCAGATTATGTCTCGCAATTTATTCGTGTTCTTCATTTTAACCAACTTCTGCTGCTCGAGCATCGATACCACAGGTAAAGTTGGTTATACGAAAATATATCTGGAATTAAAGAAAATTGATGCATATTGATATCTCTTAAATTTAAATATTTCTTAAAAGAATTAAATGTGAATTTTTTTCTTTTTTTTAAACGAATTTTTTTTAAAAATGAAAATAACCAATAAATTGTATTCTAATTTAATTTCTTTTTTTTTTTTCTTTCATAATTGTAAGTTATCCGCTGCGACCCGCCGGATTTTTTCCATTGCAAGAACGGAAAATGTATATCATCTCTCTTCCGCTGCGATGGAGAAAACGAATGCGGTGACAATTCCGATGAAATGGATTGCAATGGCGTCGAAGTAATATATCAATTATCAATTTAAATACATTAATGTTTTAAATTGTTTGTAGGATAGAATTAACACAACAAATCCAATTTATAAATTTTTATTTTAATAACGATTATTTTTAATAAGTTAGTAATAAGCGATAATTTATATATTTTATATATTTTTTTTTTAATAACAAAATTTTCTAATTTATTATCGTTAAAAGATCACAATAAATATTATATTTAAGTAATTTGACTTTTAATTTTTTAAAACTTTTTAAAAAATGAATGTAATGGATTTAATAGATGAAATTATTCCTTTTCATTTTTTAATTTGATAAAAATACAATATTTTTTATATATTATTTATTTTATATATTTTATACATTATTTTATATATTATTTTATATATTTTATATATTATTTTCATTTATCCAATATTTCATCCAATATATATCTGGATTTATTCTGTAATTAAAATTCGATTCCTTTGTTTCAGACAAATCTTCAAATGATCCGTTGCACAACTGACGAGTTCCAATGTGCCGATCATTCTTGCATACCGGAAGAGAAATTTTGCGACGCGAAATCCGATTGTTACGACGGAAGCGACGAATACATTGGCTGCGTGAAAGAAGTAAGATCTTTCTTCAACGATATTGAATTTATTTAGAAGAACGATTCTTCTGTTAATACCTCAAGAATGAATAAAATATATTGAATAGATAGATATTAATTAATATCGTTTAAATATTCGAATAATTGTAAATAATTTGTAATTTGAAATTATGAATTGAAGAGATGTTTATCACGATTAGTAAATAATTTCCATTTATTCATCAATATTTCATCATTTTACAATTGATTAGATTATTATTAGATAGGAAAATTGTAGGATAAAGTACTCTTTTCTTAATATAAGTATATTTGAAAATTATATAAAAATATAAATGTTCATCTGGTTGATATTTTTTTCTATTATCACAGCTAAAATGCAACAACCATTTCCGATGCAAAGATAGCCATTGCATAAGAAACGAATGGGTTTGTGACGGTGTACCAGACTGTCCTGATAAAAGTGATGAAGAAAAATGTGGTAAATTTTTTGTGTATCAATTTTTTGAATGATAAGATATAATAAGATATAAATTTTTATGTGTATTAATTTTTTGAATGTTCACTATATTTTACAAGTTTTATTATTATTTTCCTATTACAATTTAATATTCCATAGAGAACAATATAGTATCCATCGAGAAATGCAATAATGAGTACGATAAATATTTATGCAAGAATCAAAGATGTATTTTTTTGAATGCAACCTGCAACGAGAAAAATGATTGTGGCGATAACTCGGATGAAGATCTAGATGCGTGTAAAAAGGGTAAATGATAATAATAAAAAAAATATTATTTCTATCAATCAATGAATGATGATAATTTTTATATTTGTGATTTGCAAATAAATTTCAAAATTACTTTAAATTGTAGCCGATGCATCGTGCAAATTGACAGCAAAATGTCAACACAATTGCAGGAAAACACCTAAAGGTGCTCAATGTTCGTGTCGATCTGGTTATAAATTAATGAATAATCAAACTTGCACAGGTAAAAGTTGAAAATTGATTAAATATATTTTTTATTCAGTTAAATTTATATATAAATATTCAGATCTAATTTGGATTTGCAAAAAGATAAACAAATAAAATATATGAAAATTATATGAATATTACAGATATAAATGAATGCGAGAATTATGGAATTTGTGATCAACAATGTATCAATAATGCTGGATCTTACACATGTTTTTGTCAGCCTGGTTACATTATGCAGGATGACAAGAAAACTTGTAAAGCTGAAGGTAAATAATTACAAAAATTTAATTTTAATTTATTATATAAATTTTCTATTCCATAAAAAAATCATTTATATTTCTAAAAATTTATTTTAAAAAAAATACAATTGTTTTATTTGTTATATAAAATTTCATCTATTTGGAATTAAATTACCTTTCATTGATTATCCGTAGGTGGCGAAGCTACTATGGTATTTTCAATTAAATCAGAAATCCATGGCTATTATCTTGATTCTCAAATATACTTCCCGATATCTCGAAATTTGCAACATGCCGTCGCTGTTTCTTTGGATGCAAATTATATATACTGGTCCGACATCGAGAATGGAAACGAAGCAATAATCAAAAGTTTGGAAGATGGTTCACAACGAGAAATTATTGTTACAACAGGTTAAATTATATTAAATTTACACAAGATTAGATTTGAGATTAATTCAATTTTTATCTACTACACTTTATTGCAGAAACAGACTTCTATATTTATACATTTAACATGTGTATATTCTGTAAAATTTAAATATAAATTATTATTATTATTTTTATTTTTTTATATATTATATTTTTTATATTTATATTTTTTAATTTTTTTTAAGGTTTGAATAGTCCTGATAATATAGCAGTAGATTGGGTAACAGATAATATTTATTTTACGGACAGTGGTTATATGCATATTGGTGTTTGCAACAATGATGGTTCTTACTGTACTGTTATAATCAAGGAAAGAAGAGATAAACCAAGAGGCCTTGCTTTGTTACCATCCAATGGGTAAGTACTTTCTTAAGAAATTCGATATCTTCATCTTTTTAAGTACATTAAGAAAAATATGAAATATTTAAGTATATAATAAATAATATAATTGTGTGTTTCAAGTATATTTTATTGGACCGAATGGGGCATGAATTCAAGCATATTAATGGCAGGAATGGATGGTAAAAATATCACCGTATTAGTCAATCAAGATTTAGAATGGCCAAATAGTTTATCTATTGATTATCCGAACAATAGATTGTATTGGATAGATACTAAACAAAAAGTGATCGAATCGATACAATTGGATGGTACAGATCGAAGGGTACATTTTATTTTTCGAAACAATTGGAAATACATAAATAAAACATTAAATAAAATTAGGAATGATTTAATTTGATTCATAATACTTATTTTAAAACTGATAGTTAACACAATTATTAAATTTTTAATTTCATATTTTATTTTTATTTCCTTAGATTGTATTAAAAGGAATAGCAAAAAAACCATTTTCATTAGCTGTATTCGAAAACAAATTGTATTGGAGCGACTGGATATCTAATACTATACAATCTTGCGATAAATTCACTGGAAAAGATTGGCAAACTTTAGTGAATACAAATAATACTGTTTATGGCATACACATATACCATTCCGTTTTGAAACCAAAAGTAATTTTATTCATAATTTTACTCATTTTACTTACAGAATAAAATAAAATATTAATTTTCTAATTTAATTAGATACCGAATCCGTGCAATTCGAAACCTTGTTCCCAATTGTGCTTATTAAATTCACAAAATGGTTACACTTGCGCATGCTCATTGGACAAAGAATTGAATTATGACAATCACACATGTCGTGGTAAGTTGTACCACTATATGTATATCATTTACATGAAAAAAATCAAGTAAAACTTGATTTATAAAAATGAAATAATTTTCAGCGATAAAAAAAAAAATGCACTTGATTATCGCAGCAGGAAACACGTTTATAGATTATTATCACGAACTATTAGGAAAACCAAAAATGGCGACAAGTGTCATGCTGAAACGCATTACTGCAATTACTTATAATCCTCTTACTGGTACAGTTTTAATAATTGATCATTAACAAATATCTTACTCATATCAATAAACAAATCATAATTTTTTGATAAATTTTTAATTATAATAATATTCATATTTTATATTTTTAATATATTTTATCTATAAGTATTTATAAGTATCTATCGTCGATTCTATTACTTTATAAATTTCTTCTTTTATTTTATAAATTTAATCATTTCATTAAATATAATCTTTAAAAGTTATAATTTATTTATATAATTTTATAATATGATATTATAATTGTGCTTTCTTTTTTGTAATAATTATTTGTAATATTATAAAACAAAAATGCAGGTGGTTTACTAGCCAGTGATCAACTGACGGATACCATTTTCCATTTGAATACACATACTGGTGAAGTGAAGAGCATAATAACTATCGAAAACGAAATACTAGGCGGAATGGATTTCGATTACGTTGGAAATAATGTATATTTGTCAGATGTGAAGCATAAAACCATTGAAGTCCATAGTCTGAATAGCAAAGAGAAAACTATTTTCTATTTCAAAGATGAACCTTACGACATTGCGCTTGTACCTGAAGAAGGGTAATTATTTTCCTAGCTAAAAATATCTGTTTAACATCAATATCATGCAAAAGTTATACAATTTTTAATTTTAATAAATCTATAAGATTTAATAATAAATCTTTTTAAAAATTTTTTATCAAAATATTAATTATATTAAATTAATTTATTTTTATAAAAGAATGGAATTTATTATAAAATATTGTTATATTATATAATTATGTTCCAGAATCATGATGGTCGTATTTCGAAGCGATGGATTATACCATATAGATTTGATGAATATGAATGGACTTGGACCGAAAATCACAATCGTAGGAAATAAAACTGTATTAATTGGACCGAAGATATCCTTATCCTATGATGGAGATTTCAAACAATTATTTTGGAGTGACCAAGGTTCCGGTCGCATCGGTAGCACGACCATTCCAGGTCTGCATTTTCGTGATGAGATAAATCCACAAAAATAAAACTACACAGATGTTAAATTAATTCTAAAATATTTGAATAATTTTTTCTATCAATCGTAAAAAGAAATAAAATTGATAAAATTAATTTAGATAAGAAAAAGTTCGTAACACAATTAATTTGTTTTTAAAAATTTTTAAACAAAAAAATAATTTTTTCCATGAATATTATTATTATTTAAAGATAATATTAAAAATGATATTAAATGATAATATTAATAATAATATTAATAATTTCTTCAGGTTTCGAAACGTACATCTTGCGTACTGGTTTATCAGAACCTGTGAGTCTCGCTGTTCTTGGTGATTATTTATTTTGGACGCAATACAAATCGAATCAATTGTACTGGACTAGCAAAACCATTACGAAGCAATATCAAAAGCGTATTACATTACGTAAGTGATACAAAACGAGTAAAATATTTAATAGTTTTCATTTACATAATTAAAAAAAAAACAAAAAATAAATAATATTAAAATTAATAAAATAAATTTGAAAATTATTAATTATTAAAATAAAATTAAAGAATTCATTAATTATGGTTTATGATTAATAAACAATCATTCTATTAACAAAAATTCAATAATTCAATAAAAATATATATAATCATTTTTGACAAACAATTTTTCATACACTGTTTGATCAAGTTTATATATTTTACTAATAATACATTCAAATATTTAATAGTTAATTATGATCCAATTTATTATAATGAAATATAAGATAATATTATAATGAAAAATAAGAAAATAGAGAAAATCAAAATAACTTTCATTCTTCAGAAACGCCTGAAGATTTGGACAAAATGCAATTAATAGGTATGCACAAAACATATATAAAGGAACATCTTTGTCGTAAAAATAACGGAAACTGTTCCCACGTGTGCCTGTTATCTAATAATCCTTCTTCATACGTAAGTCTAAAACTATTTCAATTAATACAACTTTTCTAATATTTAATTATTTTTATATTTACGATTCTCAAAAATTTCTAGATTTGCGCTTGTCCACCTGACATGATGTTGAATATAGATAATCGAAAATGTAATTCTCAAACTATGTGCAATACTGGAGAAATAAAATGCGGAGAACACGATAAATGCATAAAATCCGATCAAAGGTGCAACATTATAATGCGATATTGCAGAATCGTGATTGCCAATAATTTTTATTACATATAAATATAATCACTTGTTACTTTTTAATTAATAATCCATTATTATTTTATACTTACTATTTTCTTGTTTTTATTACGAACTATAGAATGAATTTGAAATTAAAAAAGAAAAGATTATATAATTCCATTAAATATTTAGATATATCATAACCTCAAAAATTTTGCAACAATTTCAGATGTGATGGAACCATAGATTGTCCTAGCGGAGAAGATGAATCAAGTAGTTTTTGCGAAGATTTTCACTGGTCCACTTGCAAACACCAAGATCAATTTCGATGTAAAAACGGCGAATGTATAAGCAAATCGAAATACTGCAATTCCCACTATGACTGTTCGGATCGTTCGGATGAGGAAGGCTGCGTTAAAAAGGAATGCGACTCCAGTAAATCCAAACATTTACTAAATATTATTTACAACGTGTTCATTATTTACAATAACAAAACTGTTTGAATATTTAGCGAACAAATTATAAAAGCGATAAATTATATACTGTGTATATAAATAACGACAATGTAGAACAAATCGAGATATAATCGAATGAAACCATTAAATAGCTCGTATATTTATCTGAATCAATAAATTAACATTCTTTAAAACCATCGTGTTGTTGTTTGCTTGAATCGTAACACACGAATTAGATTAATCGTAGCATATTAAGTTATATTGATCGATATTATACGATTTTTTAAAAAGTCGAACAAAGGTTGAATTAATCGATTGAAATATCGAAATCATTTTCTCTTTACTTCTTTGTGTTACTTCGATTTTTTTATGAAATTCGATTTTCGAAGATAGAGATGAAAAAGAAAAAATTTTCGACCTATTAACAATCTTATTTAGAATTTATTAAGGTCTCCACTCGATTTTTTTACGGACAATTTATTTAACCGCTAAAAAATGTTAAGCTCGCATGATCGAAGCAAATAAAACTATTACAGTGAAACATCGAAAAACGATATTCGATATCATACGTAGCTTGAATAAAGGCATATATGATATTATCTGGCTTACAATCATTCATGATGACTGTAATATCTTTCAGATGAATTTCAATGTCACGAAGGAGCTTGCATATCAAAATATCTCGTGTGTAACGGTTATAATGACTGCACCGATCTTTCTGACGAACTCAATTGTAACAAACACAAGTGCGACAACGATAGCTTCGCGTGTGAAATCGGGACTTGTATACCTAAAACGTGGAAATGTGATGGCGAGGTAAGTCTAGAATTTCTATTAACCTTATTCATTGGATATTTTTTTGAATTCTATATTTTTTTTGATATTGAATCGTTTGAATTCTAATATTAAGCTTCATGCATTTGTTTTCGAATCGCAAATTCTTTTTATAATGGATCTATGAGCTACTTATGCTATGAAATTATTGAATAATAAAATATAGAATAGAAAAATATATATAAATATATATAATATATAAAATATAATATATAAAAATATATATAAATATATATAAATTATTTAAAAGATAAAATGATTAATTTCACTTTTTAAATTTTTAAATTTTAATAATTCAAATATATATGTAGTTAGTGTTTAACTTTTTAGAATTATTTATTTAGAATTTTTGTATAGTTTATTTATTTATTTAATATAAGGAGATAAATATAAAAAATAAGAGATATTTTATAAAATGTTCCAATTTTTTAAAAATAAAATAGACTTAATATATTTCACGAATAAAAATCAAATAAAATATCATATATATAAATATGTATAATTATATAAATATTCTTAAAAATTCTTTATTAAAAAATTACAAATATATGAAATAAATGAATTTTCAATATAACATAGAAATAAATTGACAATATTTATATTAATTCTATATCAAAGTATAAAATCTATAAAATATTGTTTTAAAATATTATTGTATTAAAATATAAGTATGTAATAATTATGTGATCAAAGGTTGACTGCCCAGATGGTTCCGACGAGAGTGAAACATGCCAAAGAAAGAAGTGTCCATCCGAAATGTTTACTTGTTTCAACGGTCGTTGCATTGATTTAATTCTAAAGTGCAATGGAATTAGTGAATGTGAAGATGATAGCGATGAAAAATATTGTAATGATAAAAGTAGAAATAATTATATCAATTGTACTGCGGATGAATATAAATGCTTCGATTCGGATCTATGTCTTCCCAAACAATTTAGGTAATTTTTAAGGTTCAAGTAATGATACGCGTTATTTAATATACAACTGCAATGTTTCGTTAATTGATCACGATTGAGACATTAATTAGTTATCAAAAACAATTTTTATTCACGCTAAAAAATGTTAATCCAATACAGATAAATAATTACAATAGTTTGTCGTTATAATTTATAGAAATAAAGAAGTATAAAATTCGATAATGCAATCGATGATGAAAAAATTATGAATAGTCAGACAATGAAAAATCATACGCATGAATTATAAAAAAGACATACATTGTAAATTATAGCGGCAAGTATTGTTATCCTTAAGAATTATTAATTCAAAAAAATGGAAGAAAAATAAATAGATTATAAACATAATTTATTTATTTGTTTAATAAAAAATCTCAATTGAATTTTTAATAAATACTAAATTATTCATTTTATTAATATCATTTTATAGATGTGATGGAATTAAAAATTGTCCAAAAAACGATGATGAACGTGATTGCGCCCAATGTAACGAAGCAGAATACATTTGCGAAAATAAGAAATGCATTGAGAAAAGTTGGGTATGCGACAGAATCGACGATTGTGGCGATGGATCGGATGAAAGAAATTGTGATGGTAGTAATTGGAGGATGAACAGTATCAACATGATTTCTAATTGCAAAGAATTCAAATGTTCCAATGGAAACTGTCTTCCCTTCAACAAAGTGTGCGATGGAAAAATAGATTGTTTAGATCAGAGTGACGAATTTGGAGACTGTGGTATGTACTATGATAATGAAAGAATTTTTTAAAAATTAATTATAAATTACTATTAAAAAGTAAATTATTATATTTATAATTATATGAATTTGTAATTTAATTAAAATTAATTATATGAAAAATCGAAATAATATTTTTCCGAAAATATTTTTTTTCTGCTAATTTTGACAAAAATAAAAAGATATTAAAATTAAAAGATTTTTTAATTAATTCATTAATTTTATTTTTTTAATATATATATTCACATTTAAAACATTTTTACAGAAATTTCTTGTAACAAGAACAATCCCTGTACAAATATGTGCCACAAGACACCCACTGGTCCTGTCTGTACTTGCAGAAACGGATATCATTTGAGCAGCGATTTAAAAACTTGTGAAGATATCGATGAATGTAAAAAAAATGTTTGTTCACAAATTTGTCACAATACTAATGGATCTTTTATTTGTTCATGTTACGAGGGATACGTCATTCGAAGTGATAAAATTTCATGCAAAGTAGCAGGTAAAAAAATATTTGATTTCTTAGGTTTTATTTTATTTTTATAATTCTTTTATTATAAAAAATATCCTTATAATTTATATTTTTTATTAAATGAATATATTAAAGCATTTGATATAGATTAATTTTTATCATAATTTATTATAGGATCACAAATGGAAATAATTACTGTTTCTGGTACTGATATTAGGAAATTGTCATCAAACTTAAATTCGATCGAACTTATTTACGAAGAAATAGATTTCGAAATAAATGGTATTGATGTGAACACAAGAGAAGATACTATTTACTGGAGTAATGGTAATGTTAAATTTAAAAATTGTACAGAATTTCTTCTTAAATATTTAAGAAGAATATAAATTCTTTTTGTTAAAATTTATTTATACATTTCTTTATTCTTTAAATTATTAATATTACGAAATTAAATTTTTCTCTATCTATTTTTCTATATTTTTTTAAACTTATCCATTAATAAAATAAATTATTCATTAATAAAACTTTTAATCTTTTTTTTTCTCTGATTCAAATTTACACATACTATCTAAAAATTTGATTATTTTTATAATTTTTTTATTATTTTTTACAGAAATGCTAGGTATGATAAATAAAATACATATAAAAACTAAAGAACGAAAGACTGTTACCGGTCTTGGCAGACCGCAAGCTTTAGCTGTTGATTGGATTACCGATAACGTATACTTTAATGATAATGACTATTCCAGCAGTATTCACGTATTAGATATATATATTTATAATTTATATTAATTTTATGTTATATTTTTATTAAAAAAGATTTTTTAATTCTAATTACTTATAATTTAGGTATGCAATTTAGAACAAAAGAAATGTGCTAAAATAATGTCAATCGCAGGAAAAAATCATGTAATCTCTATCGCTGTCGAACCAAAAAAAGGGTATGTTTAATTAAAAATTATATTATTTGATCGTAAATAATTTTTCAAATTTTATCATATGTAATCATATTTTTATACATATATAATCTCTACAATTTTTGAATACATGATTTAAACACTTGGCATCTATAGCATCTATAATATTTTTTCTTTTTCTATATATAATAAAAAAATTTAATCTAGATGGCTATTTTGGAGTCAAACTTTTTGGGCATTTTATGATAGACCTATGTCGAAAATATATCGATCCAATACAATGGGCAATAATGCAACAGCAATTGTACATCTTGATCTTGGTCTTGTACTCGCATTAACTATTGATTATACACGATCTAAATTATATTGGTCAGATACACATTTTAAAAATATTGAATCTTCGAATTTAGATGGTTCTAATCGTGCTGTAGTTTTAAATACAGGTGTAAGTCATTAAATAATAATCTATTTAAAGAAAATATATACATATTAAATAAGGGATCTCCATTATTTTTGTTCTTGATATTATAGATACATCAAGCTATGAATATTAATATATATGAGGATTCTTTATATTGGTTGATGGGTGGAACTGATATAATAAGAAAATGTAAATTATATGGTGATAAATTATGTACAACAATTCCTATTGGTACTTCAAACATCAACAAGTATTTTATTATTTTTCATACAATCAGACAACCTATAGGTAAATTGAATAATTATTTAAAATAATTTTATTTCATTAAATTTTATTTTTTAATAATGAATTAAAGTCTTTATCTTTTGAAACAGGAAAAAATGCTTGTGAGAAATATAAATGTAATTACATGTGTGTTTTGGGAAATAATGGTCCTGCTTGTATTTGTCCTAATGGATATCCAAAAGATTCTAAAAATATTTGTTTGGAAAATATGAATACAAAACTTATATTCAATTCGAGCTTAGTTACTTACAAGAACGAAAGTATTCGATATCAAAACGGAACATTAATTGGTATAATAATAACAGTATTAGCATGCATAATAATTGGATCAGCCTATTTTTATTACCAGAAAATCAAACCAAACTTTTCAAAGAAAAATAATCTCAGGTAAATTAATGAATAAATAAATATTTTTTTGAAATTTTTACTTAAAAATATAAATTTCTTATTTCACTTGCAGTATTCATTTTCAAAATCCATCGTATGATCAAAGAAATGAAATTGCACCCACGTTCAATTGTATCTCGGGGTTACCACCTGGAGAACATGAATATGTTAATCCAATAATAGATATACAAAAGGTAAAATATTTTTACATTATATTCAGTTAATAAAAATTATATCTATTAATTTCTATTTCTTATTTAGAATCAAAATGAAAATATAATACAAAAGAATGAAAAACAAATGACAAAAATACTTAATTTCGATCGATCGGATAATGAATCTGAAGAGTCTGCGAATAAACAAGATATTAATTTAATATAATAATTATATATTAATTCAATTATTAAATTAATAGAACCAAAATCTAACTGTATATAGTTATTTATATAAATATTTAATAACATGAATCGCGACTTAATTAAAAAAAATTTATACACTTTTTTTTTATATGTAAATAAAAATTGAATAATCAATAATATCTAAAATTATATCGCAATGTTTTTTCTTTACCTTTTACTTTTAGGATTAAATTATTATAAAATTTATTGTTCAGCATTCTTTATTAAAATTATTTTCGATAAAAATATAAATTTAAAATATAAATTTTTTGTACTTTTATAATTAAAATATAAATATTTATTTATATTAATCAATGAGATATGGACTATCAATAGCACCAATTCCAGCTGCTATTCCACCTTCATTTTCATTTGATGGTTTTGTTCTCAGAACATGTCCTACTTCTTCATTATGTATGATATTATTATGATTTCTGAAAAAAATCATGATTATAATAATTATATAAATACATAATTTAATATATAATAATGTAGACATTTTCTTACAGAGATATATTTTATTATTTACCCAATAATAATCCCGTAAATACCAAGTTCTGATACAACATCAGAAAAGTGTAATTGATTATCTTCAAAAGGCTCATTATGAACACGTACAATATAATTATTTTGTACAGGAGGATAAAAACGATCCATTAATATCCAAGCTGTTCTTTCTTTTGAATTTTTCATAGATTCGAAATGCAATTTTATATCTTCATTATAAATGTTGTTTCCACCTCCTTCTCTTTGTGGTTTTAATACATATTTTTTTGGATTTGTTATAGCATTATTAATTATTTCTTCTGCTTCATTATTCTATGTTTAGAATATATATCAATATAAAAATATTTTTAAATATTATATATTATTATTTATATTTTTTAATACTTACAAATTCTAAAGAATAAAGTCCAGCATATACTTCTTGTATTTGTTTTATTTTATTAGTATCTTTTAAAAATATATTGAGTGCATTAGGATAAGCCAAAGATTGTTGTACCTAGAAAAAATTTATATTCTTTATAATATTTAATAAAAGAAAGTTAAATATTTACCTTCTTAGTACCAGCAAGATGATAATGGATTGATGGACATTTTATTGCTTGAGAACGTTCTATTAATAATCTAACTTGCCATTCTCGTTCAGTAGGATAAGCTTCAACTTCATAACCCGAACGAAAATAAACTACAGAAACTTCTAAATTTCCACTAAAAAATATTAGTAATAATTTTTTATTTAAATTTAAGAAATATATTTAAAAAATAAAAAAAACTAAAAAAATATGTGATAAATAATAATTATTTGTTAGTATTTAATCAATTTATATAATACTTTCTATATCTTGTATATATATTTGTATATAATATCTTCTATATTTTAAGTGATTTAATGATCAAATTTAAAATAATTAAAATTAAAAATAAAAAAATTTATATTTATATTTTTATAGTATTTTATATAATTACATACACTATTAATTGCTTATTTGATCCTAATTTTGCTTCAGATACTAAATCTTTTAAACTTCTTCTGATTATCTTAATATAAGGATTAATTTTAGAAATTTCAAATTCATGAAACCTTTGGTCACATATATTATAAGTAATATTTTCAACAATAAATAATATTACAGCCCTATAATAAAATATATTAATTATATATATGCATTATATTAATATATAGTTATATAATAATTATATATAGTTAACAATCATTTCATTATACTTACTTTTTATTACCATATAATTTCCATGCATGTATTAAACCTTTACAAAGTCCATTAATTGGATTATTTTCTGGAATCTAAATATAAATAATAAATGAATAAGACAAAAATATTTAATAAATGAGAAAAGATACTTATTATACTATTATATAATACTTACATTCTTTATTTTATCTATATGTCCTAATTCTGATAAAATAAATCTAAAAAAATATTACACCATGTTTAAATAAATATTTTAATTAAATTATAAATTTTATATTTTATAAAAAAATATTTTTATAAAAATTTACTTGTGATATTGAGAAGTAATAGTAACTATTCCTCCAAAACTGCTTGCAATAGTATTTAATTCAACTTGTTTAATCTGATTTTCATGTAACATATAATCTGATCGAAATAATCCAAGACTTAATGTCTATAAGAAAAAAATATTTTAAAACTTATTTATTACATATTAATTAAAATATTATTATATACATATTAATTATATTGATATTTTACTTGACTAAATCCTTCTTTATATACAGTTTCATATATATTAAATAATTTTGCTGTAAATGGATCTGCATCGATTGTACTATAAAATATATAAAAATTATCTATTAATTATATATATATATATATATATATATATATATGTAAATAAATAATTTTATTAATCTTATGTACCTTTTTAAGCTTTCTGTTAAAAAATCATTATTATGTGCCACTTTATGAATCAATTCATTTAATAATATTTGAATATTCTTAGCTTTCTCAAAATTTTTTCTAGGAAAGCTTGATGGTAATAAAGTAAATGGTAAAACTTGCACTTGATTTTTATTAAAAGATACTTTTGATCGCATACTTATACCTGATAAATAAATTTGAAATCATTATTATACATTTGTGATAATAATAAAAAATCAATTTAATATATTTATTAGTACCATGCATAAGTGCCCAATCTTTAGCTTTATCTATAATACTTTCTAATTCTTCTTTTGAAAGTTGTAATTGAATACAAGGTTGTAAACGTGATATTTCCATTATTATATAAATTTTTTCATAAAATATAAAATATTTTAATCAAAAGACATTTAAAATTTACATTAATTATTATTTAAAGTGATTCTTTGACTTGCCATATCTTATCATCCAATATAAGTTCATATAACAACAAAACTATAAAAATATGTACATGTGAACTATGATGTAAATTTTTGTACACACATATATACTTACATAATATTTCAAATCCAAAATAAAAAAAATAATAATTTAAATATTAATAAGTATAATATATTATTTTTTAAAAATATTTTGAAAAATCATTTAAAAAATTATTATTTTTTAAAAATAAAATGAATTAGAAATTTTAACTCTCACATGTTGAATATCATAAAAATATATTATAGTTTCCAGAAAATATTAATATATTATAGTATTTTCATGATAAAAATTTATTATATGATTATGTATATTATATCATGAGTGTATAAATATAATTAATTGATTTATCTTTTAATTAATAATAGTTATATAAAAAAATTATTAATAAAAAATACATTAATATATTATTTTATTTTATTAATAAATATATTTTTAAAAATTGTTTTTCTATTTTCAGTTCTATTTATATGATTAGTAATTTTTTTTTATAAAAAGTTTAACGATATATATATATATATATATATATATATATATATATATATATATTATAAGGAATTATTTCATTTTTGTTTTTATTTAAACATTTAATAATTAAATTTGAAATATTATTTTGAATTTACATTTACAAAAGCATTATATGTTAGTCATATATGTATTTTTAGTTCATAAATATACATAGAAATATACTTATGCATAGAATTAAAAATTTATGAGGTAGAAATATATAAATACATATTCAAAAAATAACACATTTATTTTTTTAATTTAATCTATTTTAGTTAAAACAGATATTTCTTTTATATTTGTTAGATTTAAATTTGTTTTTTTTATATTACATAAAAAATCAAAAAATGAATATAATAGATATAAATTAACTTTAATAATGTAACTTAATTTTAATACATATATATAAAAATTATATAAATACATACAAAATATTATATAATATTCGTTATATATTTTAAACATATATAAATAAATTAATTTAAATTTTAATTTTACAGAAAAAAATTGCTTTTCTACACTTCTTTAGCACGTATGTATATATATATATATATATATATATATATATATATACTGTGTATATATATATATATTTGAAATATTATCAATTCTGAAATAATTACCAATCTTCAAAATTTTATATTCTATGACCGACGCTTGCGCTGTATTGTTCTTTCTGTGAAAGCACAGTTCTTTCACTCATAAAGTTTTGCTTTGAACAATTGTGTATTTTCAAAGCAGGTTGTTGAAATATTTGTATTTTATGTGAAATATAATTTAAATATTGTATATTAGAGTTAAATAAACAGTATTGATTATTAATAGCAGTTTGCTAAAAGGAATATTGGAGTAGTTTTATTCGTATTCCTGCTTCATGTTCCATCATGAGTGACTATTCAGCGGTTGCTCCGCCTCAAAATTTTAGTCAAAGCTCCGCATTTGCGGCAGCTTTGCAACGTGCAAAACAAGTAAGTAAATATGCTAAATCAATGTGGTATAGGTTATGATTAAATGATATTTTTATAAGTAGGCCATATAACACTTTACACTTTTGTTAAACCATACGTCGATTTTTTAATCATCAACAAATAAAAATATCTAATTAAATATAAATGTATTAATAACTATATTTCTTTTGAATAATATTTTATTTTAACATTTGTTTAATGTACTTAAAAAGTACAAGAAATTCTATTTTAATATATATATATGTATATATATATATATATATATATGTATATAATATAATGCATATATACATATGCTTTATTTTCTTTTTTTAAATTATGTTATTCACATTTATTGCACATTTTATCATTATCACATTAATTTACACATTTATATGATTATTAAAATAATTAATCAAATTTAAATATTTAATTATTTTGTAATTTATAATTTTATCTTTTATAATTCATTTAATTATCTAAATTTATAATAATAATAAGCTATCAATAATTTCAATGTGATTATGTTTAGATAGCAGCAAAGATTAACCCAGCTGGTGCTCAAAATAATCAGGATGCTAAATTAAAACGTCCCCTTGAAGATGGATCAGGTAATATTATATGTATATACATATGTACATACGTATGTAATGAAAATTTATTATCAAATTTGGTATATTAATTTAGAAATAGGATGTATATAAAATAATAATGTTAACACA